GGGGGGAACAAATGAACACTTGATGATATATCACCATACCATCAGGACTGATAGCAGCGCTTCTTTTCACTGAGAAGTAAAGCATAAGAACAAAAAGAAGCATCAGTCCTTCGCATTTCATCCAAAGGATGGGCATTCTGGAGTTGGCCAAGCATAATAAAATCATATGACACACCAGACTCCAGAAATATTTTGCTCAAGCATATCATCATCCAGTGAGAGAAGCCATCCAACAGCAGCAAGAGAAAAGTAACTAGTTGCCTGAAAGGGGAGAAACATTATCAGTTCATTAAAAATTGCAATTCAAGTGAATTGCTAAAGTTCCGTCAAAGCTGCAATCTTTTAAACTTCAGTCAAGATGTTCAGGTAATAGCACTTAAAATATATCCTGCAATGTACAATCATCTCTTATGGTTATACCAAACCTATATTTGCAATGAAAGAATTACTGGGAATAACTCCTTTTTTTTCTGCTACCATCAACTGTAAAGAATGTATTAATAAAGAAGAGAAGAAATGACTGACAAGAAACCCTTCTATACTTTTCTTTTTTTTTCATTTTTTTATTTTTTCCGAGAAAGTAAATGGTCTAAACATGATGTTAAACATATCAAGCCTCTTTTTTTCAGTCGAATTACTAACATAAAATTTAGGCCAAAACAGGCAAGACGCTGCAAGGATATCCAAACCGTTTGGTAAGACCCATCCCTCTGATGAAACTATGCAGCTGTATGGTCCTTGATACAGATTAGAGAAGTCTTCTTCTCAAGGTATAATGTTACAACAAAGTATAAAACATGTGAATCAGTTTCATGACCACTATCTACCCAGAGGTGCTTATTTTTTGACTTCCATAAAGAGGCTAGAAGGGGGTTGGAGATTCGGGATCCCTGCGTTCCCGTAATAGATGGCAAGAAGCGTAGACATGTATACCTAAAATAAATTATAAATTTAAACTCCCACCTTCTCGTTTACCCTTTCTCTACTCGCAGTAACCCCGTGAGAACACCGGCCACATTTCCTTCAAAGTGTTCTAAATGGTACTTGTATGGCGTCATTCAGCTTTCCAAATTCACTAAGCATAAGTGTACTACGAGCTCAATTCGATTTTTTGCGTGTGTGTTTGGGTGCACAATTCAGAGTTCGACTTATGCGTACAGTCCCAGCTTATCGACCAAAATTCCAGCTACCACTTGATAATTTCCAACAAATTGCTCTTAGACACTGCAACTAAACTCAAGCAGATACTCGAAACCGAGCAATTATCAACAATTTCAGACTTTTGTCCCAAAAAGAATCAGAAGAAGTCCACAGTCTTCATTTCTGGAGCTTCAGAAATATCAAATTTCATGCACTTTCAAACAATAATCAGCAATGTGTGATCGAATCGAAGCTACAAACCAAATTCAGCTAAACCAGAAAAAAAAAAAAACAGAAAAAGTCGAGAACTTTAGGATATTCCTGAAATTACGCTAATTTTGCACTGAGAAAAAACGCAATAACAAACAAAAGTAGATTCAGTAGAGAAACGCACCCACCTCGATTCGATCTACGTGATTACTTGCACTGAAATGCCGATTGCAGAAAAAAAGGAGATAATTTCAAAGAAAAAACCCTAAATTTACGAGATTTAAGAGAGTCTGTAGACAGTGAGTGTGATGATTTGGCGAGCAGTGAGAGAGAGGATAGAGAGAGAGAAGTGAGAGAAGAGTTCGAATTTAAGGGGCATGAAAACAACCAATGAGAAGCCAGGTTTCCACACGCGAGACGCGACCCTCCACACGTGTTACCGACGCGTTGCTTCCAGAGTAGGTACTTCACTTTGGCTTCAACCTCTGATGCAGCCTCATGCTACATCCCCTAATCAAAATAGGCCTTTCTCTCTCTCTCTCTCTGCCTTCTTCTTCAGGTACAGAGAGGCGCAGATCCGTCTGTGGACGACAACGTCTCCTTATTTACAATGACGAAAATACCCCTACTATTATGTCCAAATTTCAAAAATTCTGCGAACGATTCCCTTCGCCAGTTCGCCTGGTGCCATGCCGCAGTGGGGCCGTGCTATGACCTCTCTGAATTTTTATTTTGACTTTCACAGTTGCTGAAATGACTTCACTGTCCTCGTTCTCATGGACGTGGATCGCGCATGAAAGGGATAAACCGGTCATATTAAATTCAACGGCTCTATGACACATCCGTGATGATGATATAGAGTGGAAACTTCCACCTGATAATGATGTACCCTCAACAAATCACCACCGTATAATCGTTGATCAAACACAGAATCTCCTGACGTTGGTTAGCTAACGATGCTGGACCATTGCTATGACCTAAGGGATGTTTGGAAGCGTGGCCATTTTTCTGAAAAATGGTGTCACATTGGATCTATATCGGCGTTTCAACAAACGCTCATATAAAAACGCTTAAACCACGGGTGTGCCTTGTAAATTGAGACCTCACCGATACCGATACATGAAACATTAAATTTGGCGGTGAATTATTGCCTCCAACGATTTATTAATAATGTGAATACGTGGTAAAAAAGCACCTTACCAACTATGTACATATATGAAAAATGATGATAAAAATCAACTTAGCAAATAGCATAATGTTGTTCATTACTTATGTGACAAAAACACTCAAATGTATCAAAACGTTTTTTCGTAAAAAACGGGTTTCAAGTATGAGCGTTTTTTTTTCAAAAAACGCTTACGCTTCCAAACACCATCCTATTTATTCTTATAGACCGTTTTTATGGTGTACTGAAAAGGGAACCCCGAGCCGAACTTCAAACAAGTCATTATCTGGTATAATATTCCTTAATTAATCGGGTTGCTTTCCTTGTGTGGGTGCCCGTTGTTGTACGTTTCTTGGGGGAATCGATGGACAGATCTGTTGATATGTGGTACGATACAACTAAGACGATAGCGATGGGAATTGGGAGATATAAGACGATGCCTCTGGGAACGACTCAAGAATCAAAATCTCTTTTTTCGGGTTCGGGTCATTGGATGCTCCGTTGGTTGGTGTGGTTATTGCCCACACACCACACGCAATTCGCAAAGCCTTTGCCTTCTTAAGTTCTTATTTCAATTTGAAGTTCGACTTCAATCAGGGCAAAGCCCATTGGGGCAGCTTTTACTGCCTTGCATTGAGAATATCTTCCTTGTATATATGAATTGAAATTTTGAGAGCCTAAATGGGTGGGTATCCGGGATGAGGTAGGACCCGGTATACCCAACATGATGCCAACGTGGCATTAAAAGTGTTTATTTTAGATTTTTTATTTTTTGTATTTAAAATATTGTTATAATTAGGATTTTTCACTTTTTAATGTGCCACATCATCAACCCTCTAGCCATGGAAATGTAAATGGTTAGCAACAGATATAATTCCCCCTTTTGCGAGTGATTATTTCTTAAATAAGGCTGTGTTTGGCGGGATTTTTTGTCTCTAAACTGGGTTTTGTAGAAGCACTTTTTTCTATAAGTGCTTCTAAAAAACCGCTTAAAATCTGCGTGGTAAGGTGTCATTTTTGGACACCTTTTCTAATGAAAAAAAGTACTTATTTAACAACATTGCTTGGTTCAAAATGAGCTTTTGCCAATATAAAGGTAATATTATTCTCCATCATATATAAAAACAAAACATGTACAACATTACTTGGTTCAAAACGAATTAATGGAAAAGGAGTTTCAATCAATCCATGCTCATTATATGAATAAAATGAGAAAATGTATGATACCTACTTTATCGCAAAAACCACCATTGGAGGCATTTGATTCAATACAAACAATAAAAGAAAAATAAATAAAGAAGGGGTGAGATGGAGCGGTGGGAATAATCAATATTCGAGCAATTTTTTTAGAATAAACAAAAAAAGCCTGAAAATTGAATCTGGCTGTAACTTGTCATCACTGCAAGTGGCAAGAAGTGAAAATAGAAAGGAAAAGTGAGGAAGAAGATGGTGAGGGTTTTAGAGTCAACAGGGACATTCTAGGTATTAAGAAAAGTTTAAATGGGCAAAATTAGAATGAGAAACAAGAAGTGCTTCTTACAAATGCAAGAAGCCAAAGTTGCCCATCAAGGCATCAACTGCTTTTTCTAATGGGTCTTTTCGGTTCCGTTTACTGTTTTTTCACTAAATTAAAATGCTTTCTTGAGCGCTTTTGTCTTCTTCTAAAACGCAATAAGTGCCAGAAGTGCTTATTTTAAGCCCACCAAAACAAGTGCTTATTTCAAACAATGGTAGTATAGGCTGGCCAAAACGGGCAAAAAAGGAAATAAGTGCTTGAAAATAAGACCAAAAACATCTTCAATACTGTATGATTTCACCAAATGCATATAAGTGCTTAAAGGGAATCCGGATCTAGTCACACTAACCTGACAACACGTTCCAGCCGCAGATCAAAAACATCTTCAATACTTGTATGATTTTATTCATGGGAGATGTTCCCACTACACGACACAGTGGGATGTGCTATAAAGTGCGTTCTGTGAGGAGCAAGTTCTGATTCTAAGATGTGATTTCAGGTAAGGGTGGATTTGACCCAAGTCAAGCCAAATAGTATAAGGTTTGAGCTCGGCTCGCCAAGGTTGTATAAGGCTCGAGCTCAGCTCAAGTTTGATTTGAGGAAAAATATTTTATAAAAATAAAAAATTATATATAAAAAAATATTTTTTATTTGATATTTAAAAAATAATAATCATAATAAATAAGTTATAATATTTTTATTATATATATATATATATTATTTTCTATAATTTTATTATATATATATACACATATAGTTATATATGAGCTCGGCTCACGAGCCTTACGAGTCGAGTTCTATTAGGCTCGAGCTAGGCCCATTTATTAATCGAGCCTATAAATTGGCCTCAAGCTCAGCTCGAAGCTTGATTAAAACTGAGCTGAGCCGAACTCGAGAAACTCGTGAAAAGAAGCTCGGCTCATTGCCACCCCTAGTTCTAGGCTAAAATAAGTGTTTATTTGAATAAATACTTAAAAATAAACATCCCAAACAAGTACTTGCCTTTGAGTTCAAATCAGCCCCCCATGAGATTGCCCCCACAACATCCCATAACACATCTCCAATGTTCACTGAGAGCATCTCCCAATGATGACATCATCATTTCTAGAATTATCATCAGAAAATGTTCCTAATTCATGGTCTCCTTGTCTTTTTATGCTAAGGCAAATTGTTTAGATAAATGATTCAAATACCTTCTTAGTATGGTGTGGGACTTTGGGTCCATTAGCATTAGGCCTAAAATCTCTCTCTCTCCAATTTCTTTTGTATTTTAGTGGGATGTAAGTGTTTGAAACTATGAGAAATGGAACTCTTCCTTACACATCCTGGTCATTACATCATGATCAGCATAGAAAAACTCACACCATTAGACCAAAAGGAACCAAAAAAGAAAGAAAGATCTCACAATCAGTGATTGAATTTGGAAAGTGCTCAATCCGGTCAACTATTCTGTCTGCCAAAGTCATCTTAGCCAGTCTATGAGCCACAGCATTGGCCTGACAGATTTATGTGTAGACATTATTATTTCCATTTCGCCCTTTTAAATGGTTATAATTGTTTAATACCTCTAAATTACTACTGACAAAGGCCTAAGGGAATCATTTCCTACAACCAGTATACAGATTCTTTTGCTTGCTGCTGTGCATTCCTTTCTCCCATTCTCTGATACCCATAACTTTTTTGTACTGAAATGCCCTTGTGGCTGCTTCCCTAAGTCCCCCCTTTACTTTTAAGGAAATAGTATAAAAAAGCATGTAAATATTAGTCATTCTACAGCTTCAAATGATTAAAATGCCCTCAAAAGATCTTGTTATAATTATCTCATTTTATATAGTTTGAATAATGACTGTATATTTTTTCATAGGTGAAAAACAATTTAAGTTCAGTTTGGAAGGAGTACAAATATAAATTTGTAGAGTACAAAATCTTGTATTTTATATTATTTTGTATGCATTTGTATTATACATATTTATATTTATACTTTTTCCAAACTTAGCCTAATTAAAGGACAATATTGGCTATGACTTGTGTAAATAAAGTCACTTGTACAACGCAAATATATTATCGGAGCAACATTACATTATTAATTTTTTTCCGTGGTAAAGAAGCAACACTACAATTAAGGTTTAAACCAAAGGAAACATCAAAAACATTGAAAAGACAATTTTAAGAGATGTGTCAAATTAAACTTTGAATAAATATAAATATAGTGAAAATTTAAGATATACATAAATATATATTAGAAAAACTCAAATAAAGAATACACTAATGAAACTAAACCCAAATCTCAAATGACTATAAGGTACAAGCACATAATATACACATAATAAGAAATATATGTTTTGATGGTTTTTATGAAGTGTGAACTGTTTGGATATATTAATTAAGAAAACATTGAGAAGAAATAGTAGAAGAATTAAAATATGACCTAAATCAAGAAAGTTATCAATTTAAATTGTCAATCAATTTGTTTTATTTATTTTTATTTTCTATTAAATATGAAATTAATAAAAAAAAAGTTGATAGAACCCTAGGCACAAAATTTACTTATGGTGGAGGTGGTGACCACATTTTATTGATTGGGGGTAGAAGCTTTGCCCCTTGGAAAAATCTTTACAGCAACAAGAAAACCAAATAATCCCTATTAACATGAAGACCTAATACATACATCCACTCTGATCAAGTGGTCTATGCATTCCAGAAGACATCTCTGAAGTTCAAAAATCCGTTGACATCTCAGATCACAAGCTATAT